TTTCGTTTTCAACTCAATGTGTACTTCCTGATTTATTTACATTATGTAGACAAGTAGGTATAGTTACAAAATAGACCGTTTAACCTTAAGCAGGTATACAATATTTAAAAAAAAAAACTATTTTGAAAATTGGCTCATTGCCCTGCACTTGATGAAACATTTTCACTAACCAGTTAATCAAGAAAAAATAAGTAAAATTTCCGTATCATGCCTGATACGAAAAATTAACTTCTTTTCTGGGAATAGCCTAAAGCACTTCAACAGATTTTACTAAAGCCTTCAATTAGTTTAAGCGTTGGCTTTTAATGACGTTCTATAAAAGCTTAATAGTCCAAATAGTGAAATATTTTTATATCTTTTTATTAAAGGCGACACGATCCTACGCTATCCTCTGCTTTATATTCCTACTACTCCTTCCGTCCTGACTTATCTGACTTCCTAAGATATCTAAAATCAGCCACTGATTCTAATTTTTCGTCTCCTATCTTTATATTCGCTCTTTCGCTACTTTTTCTTCCCTTGCATACCAGTATTTCAGTTTCACTTTTATTTATTTTCGTACAGTGCTGATCTGTCAGTACCGCATCCATTTTATTTAAAGCTATCTCTAGGTCCTCCTTGCTAGATGCTAATACTGCTATATCATTTGCAACTCTAAGCATACTAATTTTAGCCCCTGTACATCTATCCCTACAGTTGTATTGTGATGATGTTGATGGCCTCTTCGATGTATATATTAAAATATTTAACGTCTTGTCCCATTTAACATTGTCAAAAGCTTTTTCTAAAACTACAAATCCTATGTACGCACTCTTTCCTTTTTCTATCGTTTTCTCTATTGTTACCTGTAAAGCTAGAATGGCCTCCCGCCTTCCTCTATTTCTTCTAAATCCAAATTGATCTTCCCCTAATAGTTCTTCCGCCCTTTTTTCCATCCTCCTCTGTACAATTCTAGTTAAGATTATAGACGCATGGGAAGTTAAGCTAATTGTTCTAGATGTCTCGCACCTATCCGCGCTCATCCTTTTAGATAATGTTACTACTACGTTCCGTTTATAATCCTCTGGGACTTTCCCCGTCTCGTAAATGTGACTAATTAGCTTAAACATACGATCTTTAACCTCTTGTCCTGCATGTTTTAGAATTTCCCCCTGTATCCTGGCGCCTTATTATGCTACATCGAACTATTATCTCATTATGGGATAACCTAGCTCCTCTATATACACACTATCTTCGTTCTCTAATATATCTCCTAACTCATGGCCTGCGTAAAGGTTCTCTAAATATTCTTTCCACCTATCTGCCTTTTCCTCGTTTCCTATCAAAATGGCCCCTGCCTCTTTCTTATACTATTACTACTGTATCCTCTCTAAAATTCCTTTTAATTATATTATACGACTCATCGGTTTTACCTACTTCAAACTTTTCTTCTACTTCTTTACACATCTAATTAATCCACTGTTCCTAGCTGCCCTACACTTCCTAATTATTTCCCACTTTATAGCTTTACATCTCTTTTTCCCTTCTTGGTCTGTCCTGTTTTTGTATTTCCGCCTTTCGTCTATTAATCCTACAATCTCACTTGTTATCCAGGGTTTCCTACTTTCGTTTCGTTTAAGACCTAGTATATCTGTAGCTGCTGACTTTAGGCACGTTTTAATGCAGTTCCATTCTGTCTCTATGTCCCCGTCATTCGTTTCTCCCACCGCCTTTAGTATTTCGTCTGTCCTTTTACCTAGCCTATCAGGCGTTTCGTTACGTTTAGGCTTTCGAGTCGAGACGCCTCCTACCTTCCCTCTTTTTCAGAATTTTCAATTTAAGATTGGTGTTCATAACTACTAAGTTATGATCGCTATCTATATCTGCTCCTGGATGACTCCTACAGTCCTTCACTTGATTTTTAAATCTTTCTTCGAAACTTTACGGTTTGGCATAGATGTTAATATATCATTGGAGAGCAACAAATTAGTTGTAGCAAAATATGATAATATTTGTGGGCTTACGGNAACAGGAAATCCATTTCTTTCCAAGGTTGGCAGTTATCGTATGAAATTAGTACAGATCCAAACATTTGGTCTTGGTCTAATACCAATGAATTAATTTGAAGAATTAATATGGTCTAACCAAGGACCCTTTAGGGAGGACTTCAAGACCATAGCTTTGAAGCCTGAATAATAATTTTCTAAAAATCTGTATCCGTCGTAAATGTCTAAGCTAATTAAATGGGAAGCCATAACTTGTGCAAACGAAAGACTGCAGTACCAACCGGTAAAAAAGGATGGCGAGAACGCTCAAGTTTGAATCCCCGAAATGCGAAATAACTACTGCGAATGCCCTGCTCTATTTATTTTTACAATTAGTAAAATTA